AAATTAAAGTTAGACCTTTTATTCGCTTTACACCATTATGATTGTCACGCCGCCCATTTCTCCTGTGATGGACGAGCTCGGCTGGCCGTCTCAGCTGCAGACTCCAATTTGCATCGACAGTTTGATGGAGAGCTCCTCTCTCAAACACCCTTTGGTTTTGCGCCAAAAGACGCTCCTCCATCACTGTATTCATCGGATTCGCTTTTGTCTTTGATTTTTGGGCTCACCCATGAGAAGGGATTTCTGTTCTAGCGGGGGCGTTCAAGGACAAACAACTGTAAAGTAGAATAATCATAGAATAGAATAACGATGATGATGACATGGAAATTATTTTAAGGTTGTTTGCGCTTTTTTTCCAGGTGCCATGGCGGACGACGGCGGTGACTGGCTCGCCGGCGGCGACGACGCCGGTGGCGATGACTGGCTGTCCGCGGCCGCGGACACCGGCTCGGCCTCCACCCCCGCCGCCGCCGGAGCCGCCCCCGCGGGCGACGCGGCCGCCGACGGCGAGGCGCCCCAGAAGCCGCGCGTGGACGAGTGGGCGTGGCCCAAGGGCCAGCCCTTCCTGGCGCTGCCCCCGTACCGGACGCGCCGCGTGCAGCCGCGCAAGCTCGACAAGTTCATCCCCTTCACGCACTGGAGCCGGCCCACCTCCCTCAACTACGAGTACATCTACCTGTACCGCAAGAACTACTACGACGACGTCATCGACTACCTGGACCAGCGCACGCGCGGCGTGGAGCGCGAGCTGCCCAAGCCGCAGACGTGGGCGGAGCGCGCGCTGCGCACCTACTCGAGCGCCTCGCCGCCGCCGCGCATGCAGAAGACGGTCATCGTCGAGGACTCGCTCAAGAACGTGGGCGCCGTGGCGGGGCTGACGCACACCAACGCCATCCGGCACCACCTCTCCAACAACGTGGTGCGCACCCGCTACTACGACGCCCTGTACCAGCCGCTGCCCGGGCCGCAGGCGCCCATGGACGAGTAAATGTGTGATCTGCTGCCACCCGGTTTGGCCGAGCCCAGGTGCGTTCGCGGTGGTCCGGACGATGTGTGAGCCGAGGGGTCGAGAGGAACAAGGTCGAAGCTGGGCGTTTAGCGTCAAGGTGTGGGGGCTGCCGACGGAGAATGGCTCGGCGAGCTGAACACCGTCGGTCTGGTGTCCCGCCGTGTGTTGCCTCGAGGGCTGATTCCCCTCCCCGTCCGAGACCGCGGCCGATGCCCTTGCCCTGACCTCTGCGGTCCTTCTGCAGCCTGTCAGTCAGAAACGCATTTTGACTTCGGCTAGCGCCAGTATCGAAATGCGTCTCTTGCTGAGTGCTGGATGCATCGCCTTTTCTCTGCCATGATCTGTAGATAGTTTTTTGACCTCGTCTTCCTTCCATTTTCTTTGCTTAGTTCAGACCACCGCGAAGCGGGGACCTGTCGCAGAACGCCAGCGGCACGCGGTGTTTGGCGATGGAACAAGCTTCCCCAAAGAGGTCCGGGACGAAACTTTGTTTTTATAACTTTCCTTCGTGTTTTTGTTGTATGCTAGTATTTCATACGAGGCACGTTCCATTGCACCGCTCAATCCCCCAAACAGCCAAAGAGGTACGTCGGTTACTAGCGGGTTGGTAAATCACTGGGGAATATACTGCTAGAAGAAAACAGTGATAAGAAAAGCTATTAGAAAATGATGTGTGAAAGAAATTACCTCTGTTGTCCATTGCCAACCCGCTAGTGACCGCGAAACCTATTGCATTTGGCTTTATATATTTACGTTCGGTTGTACTCCTGTCAAAGATCTCTCCAATTTCGAAGAATTTCGTTTCGTCTGATCGGAAAAGCATCGATCTAACGACCTTGAGTGCGACCTTATGTCTGTTGTGTTTCTCAATGTGAGTGTAGCAATTACTAGCAGGCGACTGTTGTTTCATGTGATTGTAAGTTAGTATGAGTGAATGACTTTCCGATCGACACTTAGTTTCACTGTAGACTTCAAAGCATGGACATTTTTTATTTGCCACAAAGGAACCAAGTAAAAGAGAATACATAGCCCATAAGAAGTGGAGCTAGTGAACTACTGACACTTGGTGATGCCTGCAACCGAAATTACCTCAGAATTATTTTCCCTTTTGCGTTTCCTTTGAGTAACTTCACTTCCGTTGTCCTACAAAACGACATGATAATAATTAAATCCTCTACAGATTAAGTCACCAACTAAAATACTGTTTTGATATAAAAAAATAAATCCGAATCTAGTAAAAAACGGTCATCAATTCATAACTACCCCTCTCTCAAACCAACACAGAATGTTGACAGTGACAGTCCTTATACGTTAAGGTCAGCGTCGCCGCCAGACAGGAACGCCCGGCTGTCTGGCGTTCCAGGGGCGGAACCAGCCAGGGAGCCCTGCTCGCTGGTAGCGGCGGACTCCTCCGCGCTGGGCTTTTCGGATCCGGCCCGGCCGCCGACCGGGGATCCGGGGGCAGACAGGCGGACTGATCCCGACGGGGACCCGGAGGGCGATCCGTGGGCGGTGGCCGGCGCAGAGCCCGGGGCGGACCCGGCGGCGTGCTCCTCGCAGTGCTCCAGGATGGGCTCGAGCTGCGCGAAGTCCCGGCCCCTCCTCAGGCCGCCCAGACCCGGGACCGGGCCTTCCGCGGTCTGAGCACCAAAGAACGGAGAAAGAGGTTAGCTAAGACGCTTTTGTGATGATCACAAGTTTTCAATAAACTAGACGAGCTGCTAAGTCGACATACCAGGAACAGAGGCGATGGAGTGAACGATGTCGCTAACGGCACGGACTCTCCGCACCCATCGGTTTCCAGCGGAGTGGAGGAACCAACACCATGCGCAGCATGAACTAGGCCGGGATGGGAGAGTGTAACACCTGCGTCTGTCTGAATGGCGACCCCGCCATGCCAAGCGACTAACCTGCTGATCCGACTTCCACCGGCGCGGTCGGCTCGCAGGGTGACTGGGGCGGCACGGGGGCGGCA